AGCCAGATACAAATAACTGGGCGAAACCCCGAGACGCACCTATATCTAACAAATGCTTTCTAGTAGTTACGGACACAAAAACTGTTTCTTTCTGTTATTAATCTTAAAACATGCGTTGTTCGCACTGCACAAGATGATATCATTTTAACGTCATATATGTTAAATTGGACTCGGGTATAGATTTTGCAAGGCTAAAGAATCGGAATTACTCTTACGTACCAGATTAAACTAAATTGAAACTCGTTTGACGGGCCGTAAACCTTCAAAGTTCGCACTTCTTCGCGGGCCGCCGAATTTTTCCTTGTGGGCCACATTTAGCCCGCGAGCCGCTTGCACACCCCTGCTATACACTGATCGTATTGATTAAAACATTTTAACGCACATAAGAAAGCCAGCCCTTATGTACAGGTTAGGATATTTCATATTCAGCAAGTGAACTAGGTAAGTTTGTTAGAATTAATCATACGATGGACCCAGACCACAGAGCCGTTGGTGTACAGTCATGAGAAAGAAAGAAATCGTTTTCGATCAGATATGTTACATGACGTTTCACACTCTTTTCATTCCGAGAAGGGCTTCGAATAAACATCCACTTATATGCGAGGATTATATTTGTGGGTACCTTTGGTGAAGTGGGGGGGCATTGACAATAAATTTAATAATTTCATGGATTGTTTTGCAAAATATTTTTCGTTGTTGTAGTTGCAAAAGTTGCTTTCTTCCACAAATAAAGTTCGAATCGATTTAAAATTTGCAATTACTTTGCTATTACCTTTATTTATTCGAGTCCAACGAGGCACGTTATCACGCCCTAAAGTTCGCTATTTTATTTTAAATCCTGCGGACACTTTTGTATGGCATGACCATATAACTGAGCATTACAATCTGGTTTAGTACTTCCGAAGTATGTGAACCAAGATGTCGGGCATCGCAACGTAGTATGTGTACCGGGTTAGGATTAGGCCATAATTTCAGGCACAAATACTGCGGGAGTCACTTGGCTAGTGCGCGAATTTGTAATAGAACCAAGACAATGAATATTGGAATAAAATTGAGACCTAACCCCAATCTGTTAAACATACTAAGTCCCGGTGTCCGTCATCATGGTTCACATACTTCGAGAGTACAACTCGTTTTATTTTATTCCAGCGTTTCAAACCAATATAAATCTCTCGCACATAGCTTAGTCATCATGATAATCCGAAGAAATATCTATCTATATACTTTGGCGATGTTTTCAATAACTGCTTATGTGGGAGCCCAGCAAGACGTTGTGTTCCAGTGCTCAGTGAAAAAGGGTTGCCAAATTCATCAATGTGACCCAGCACCAGCTGGTGAGATATAACATACATGTAAATAGAGTAACTAATGTTATTAAAAGAATGTTTAAAGTCGCATTTTAATATTTTATTCTAGTATTGTGGTCGAAATCGAACTCCCAAGTCGCAATGTTGAGCTTGCAAAAAAACAGTACATTTCAAACAACTTAATCAAAATAAGCAGCAGACCAGCTGCCATTAAAAATATTTTACTAATCAGAATTAAGTTTTATCGTAGTCAGATTGAAATCAAACCCAGGCAATAGCCAGACCAGATATGAAAAAATCCCTCAATTCGGAATCATGAGTCTGTGTTATATTTATATATATTTGATAACCAAAACTGTAGTGGAAGTCTGAATTCGGCATCTCTTTTTACTATTGAGGTTAGTCGCGATTCGCAGTTTCAGACTCGTATGGTAAGCCAAAATATGTTCAGCAACAAAACCCAAAAACTTTCGATAAAAAACGGTTTAGGCTTATTCCATCCGGAGTCAAATTTTTATTCAATTCAGAGTTGACGTCATAATTACATTTTTGAATAGGTCAGGAAATTGAGTGTAACTTTTTCTTACTTTATTGCAACCCTGAGGTATGCATGTTTAAAGATATTGAATATGAAATAGACTTCCGTACTATGAAATCTTTGATGAGAGCGCGGCTACTGGTCTGTCAATATCTATTTAGCCAATAAAGAAACATAGTGGTGAATCACGAGCTGCTGAATACCTTGGCGCAAGACCCGACCCTCATGGTTTGTTTAGTTTAGTTTTGATCAATTTTCGTTATGTTGTTCACTGGGAATGATTTATTGCCATGTACCAGTACATTTATCTGAGAATTGATAACTTGTTTCATGTTTCTGCATATATTCAGGTTGGCAAAACCTCGGCATCGGCGTTCATCAACCTTTGAGCAGAGAAGAATTCCCCATCACATGCACGGGTTCCGGAAGTTCAACAAGTAATTTAGAAGCTTTGATTCTGAAAAATTTGCAAGAAATTGCAACTTTCAAACAAGGTACTCACTCTACTTTCTTATCTCAGCTCTGTGTTGGGTAATTGTTTTGTCTGCAGGGATACCGTAGCCGTGTCGCAATGGATTTCCCCCGAAACTTGACCCAGCAAAAAAAAAACTTCTCCCCATATTTTAATATTACTTGATTTTAGATGCCTATTTTGCGAATGTTTTGTTTGCGAGCTAGCACGTACAAACCGATTTATACGATCAAAAAAATCAATTTTATTAAAATATACAAGCACGTGTCGCTAACAGATACAGACAACTAATCTTAGCCTAGTTCATCACAGCTTTTCCAGGACTTATTTTTGTTTATTGTAACTCAACTAAAGATCATCGGAAGATATAATGACTATTAAATAACTTCATTTACAACTAATTATCGGAAACACAACTGAAAACGACAAATAACACGCAAAACCGCGGAAACGAGTTGTTGCTTACAACCATGCTTCTGCGCGAACAAAGTGCCTGAGCGGAAGCATAAATTGCAAATGTTACGTCATCTTTGACTTTGTGCTGATTGGTCATTGTTAACGGAGATAAACAATGAAATCGATGCTTGGGGAAACATTCATACCCACATTTCTTACCCAGCTATTGCACCGCGACACGAGCAGTGCTGCGAATTTTTCCCGGAGAGTTTTTTTTAAACAAGAAACTAATTTATAAATCCCTCGGAATAATTATCAAACTTTTAAAGAATTAGGTCGAAGTTTGGTACTCCCGAGTATGTGAACCAAGATGGCGGACACCGAAACGTAGTATGTTTACCAGGTTAGGGTTAGGCTATAACTTTATTCCAATTTTCCTTATTTTAGTTCCATAATTACGAGTTTGGAGACTAGCCAAATGAAATTAGGTATCTGAAATTCTGGTACACATACGACGTTCCGGTGTTCGCCATCTTGGTTCACATAGGTTCGGGAGTGCCGATTGTTCAAACGGGCTTTGCTATATAACGGTTTCTTTAGCAAAACTCATTTCAATGGCCTGTTCTCATTTTAATTGAGGGAAGGACGGTTTAGAACGTGAAAGCTAAGAGCAACTTTTTAATCGAGATGTCATCAATCAAAAATTTTAACAGCGCTGAAAACAGACAACTTAACAAGTATTTATCTTTCTTTTGCGGCAGGTTTGAGCGAATTAAAAACAACAAATAAAAATCTGAAAAACAAAAATTTGGAACTTCAACAAGGTAATTACAATATTTCTGATATTAATTAACAACTTGATATCCTGAAGGTTTTTTTCCTCAATCAAATAATAATATCAATATAAGAGACTTTTACATGGGTTAGGTTGTATTTCGCCTTATTTGCAAACGACAACTTCCACCCTATTTCCTTGCGTAGCTATTGTTCAATAAAATGAAATAAACATTTTTTTGCAGAAATAAAGGAAATAAAAGCAACGAATGAAAAATTGAAAAATGAAAATGAAGGGTTTCAACGAGGTAATCACTGACTAAAAATCACTTATACTTAACATGGTTCAATCTGGCAATATTCACTATACTGATGAGTTGTATCAGATTCCGAGGTGTTTTTTTAAATTGGAATCCAAATTGTTTAGTTAGTTCAAATCTTAACAGGGATACATGGTGAATTACATGTAACTGGTATTTTACGCCAGTTTTTATTTTTAAGTTACAGGAATAACATAATTACATTCGACATGACTCTTATTGTGATATCTAGTACAATTAATAACTTTGACTGCCACTTCGCTAAAAATTGAGTAGATATATTAGCCATTCGTGTCCGCATTGCTTTTTTTTTATAGAAAATTGTCATATCTAAGAGCTAATGCAAAATGGTTTTGAGATATCTTTTTTATAGTCATCTAATCTAAACTAGCTCAAGACTCGATCTTCTCCAAGAAAGATTTCAAATAATGCAACTAAACTTACAGCCCACAAAATCACATTAACAACAATGTTATACATTTAATTTAAAAAATATATACGATGTTTACAACCAGATTTATAAATTTGTCGAGTAAAATTAGCTGACATTTTTCGATAAATGAAATGTTTGTTTTTTAGATATTAAACTGCTGAAAACTCAAAATATAGAACAAGATGCAACGTTGGATGGAATAAAAAGAGATCTACTTCATGGTAACTTGCTTTACTTGAATTGTTACAGTTTCGTATGCCTGAAACCCATGTGTGCAACGACGGTATAAAAGTATTGAAATCTTTTAGTTTCATTCCTTTAAAGTTTGGTTTTCTATATTCTAAAGGTGCGTTAAAAAGTAGAATCATGAACGAAATATTCACATGTCCAAATTTACAATTTATTTGATTAGTAAACTCCGCTGACGGGTGCAAAAAATCCCAGTAAAATCTTTTTTCAGAAATTAAAGCTATTGAATCGAAAAACAAAGAACAAGATGATAAGCTGGGAGCCATGGATAGAGAATATAGTAAAGGTAAAACATGGGTATCTTCATTGAACTACTGGTATTGTTTCATTCATTGCATGGTATTCGAGCAGAGGTGTCGAACCTATTTGCTATCGTGGGCCACTTCATCAGTTACCGTTGAGTAGGTGGGCTGCACAACTCACATAACATAACCCGTTTTTCATCTAATTTAGGTAAGGCTGCGGTTTCTACAACATATGCACCAACAATAATGCCAACAATTGTATCAACTTGGCAGACGATTACTACAACAAAGACGATGCAAAGTAAGTTTTTTTTTAAAAAAATCGAAGTGGTAAAAATCTTGTACAGTACCCGACCATAAAATCGCTAAAATGCGAACCACGACACGCCATGCATTTTTCAATTTTGATGACGTCATCAGACAAATTTTACAAGTGAAAAACGAGTTGTATAGAGCCCACAGAAAATAAAAAGAATTATAGCCTTCTAGCGACAAATACAATTTTTAAGAGCAATCGGACTAGTAATTGAAGAGAAAGGCGATTTTTTTTACAACAACATAATAATAAAAAAACTTCATTTCGTGTCCAACAAGCAAACAATATCCCAATATATGAACACTGGGGTCGCGCATCGGCAACGGTACGGTCTAGGTGTCGTATAATAAAAGAAGATCCGTTACATACGGTAGTTTGTGACATTTCTAGTTACAGATGAACCTACTACACCATTCAGAAGCCGTTCAGTGCCCAGATCAATCTCAACATTCTTAAAGCAATCGCTTATTGAACGAGGTAAATAAACATGACAACAATTTCATGAAACACCCAAGTATGTAAGTATGGAATTGCCACAAGACGGGTCAAACTGTGAAAAAAGACGGTATTAATTCCAAATAACTCGGCAGCAAAAAACTGCAATTGAGAGAAAATGTAACTCAAGCTGCACACACCTCTGCTGCAATTGTTAGTAAATGAAACTCCGATTACAAACACCTCTGCTATCAGATTAAGATGATATACGCAATTCAAAACTCAAGCTATCTATAGTCATAGACCTGGCGTGTGGGAAGGGTTAGGTTATCTTCATTGATTCAACCTTTTTAACAAGACTTTTCTTTGTATAGGTGAATGTCATTTCGTCGTAAACACTGTTTGCTACTGGGCTATTGTGGATTCATACAAAAGCTCTACACTCATCTCTGCAATTTCGAAGTGTATCGCCCTCGGGTTTGATATCGTCTACGTCAAAGATGCCGATATTTACCAGCTAATTATGTTCAACACGAGACTGAGAATTCCGAGAAATCGGAATTCAATTCTTGTTCATGTTGGCGGTTTATACGACCCGGCGGTAAGTAACTTGTGATTGTCTGACAATGGGCACGATTATGCAATTTAGAGGACTCAACCTAAGCACAGAAGAGGTTTGTGCCCTATATATAAAGTAATAATATTCAAACTAGTGTCTCATGTTATCTGAAATGAAATACGTAAGTTTCAGTATTCATTACTGATCGAATCGAAGTTGTATTTAATTCATGTAATTTTTTTTTGGAAATAGTTTTCTTCCCTACAAACATTGATTTATATAGGTATAGGGCGATACTTCAGTAAAGAAAAATCAAAAATTGATCCTCAATCGTTTGTCCAACTCGAATCATTTTATTAAACACTAAGGTACCATTGAAAACTCTGTTTGTACCAATAATAAGCTAAACGTTACATAATTTATATTTACTTCAACCTTTTGTTTTAGACACGAAAGACGACTCCTCCAGATATATACACCCAATGGCATCCGAATCAGCCATACGTTCCTCGACATCGTACAGGGGCGCAGGGGATTTATATCGAGGTCAACAAAAATCCATTTATTCCTAATCAAGGCATGGGTGTTCAGCCTGGTACTTTTACTGCCAATGGTATTATTTGTCAAAAATCCATATAAAACAATATATAAACGAGATAGCGATCAGAGACCGCCGACTTATCGATCTAGCGGGTATATATTCTTTGCTCTGACTCAATGAATGTCATAATAATGTACATTGTTTGATAAGCGCGAGCATACATACCGAGCAAACAGTAGCAATGTAACTGAAGATTATACTACACGACCAACAAACACACCCAACACACGTAACATCGAAGAAAACTCTGACCTGGAAATAAAAAGTCAGAACAGATGTACTACGGAAATATCTCAAAAGAATTAGGTGCTGGAAAGTTTTTAGGTAACATTGGCGTTGAGTTGAGTCTTGAATGCACCGACTAAACCAAGTTGTGGCAATGATGCGTGAGCTAGTCAACAGCATGTACCATTCCGAAAGCCTACCAGGAATGATGTTTCAAACAAAACTATAAAACTTATAGGGTTCTTGTTGTATAATAATGTGATATCGTTAGGTGGCGCTGTTAGCCCGTATTGTATTTGACTTTGTATACCAGTGCTCTTCAACTTTTTTGTTATTGTGGAACCCCTGATATAATTTATCGTTTTTTATGGATCCCTAATTAACAAAATTAAAACTTTTATTTTAACTTTGGCAATTGAATTACATTTGGTTCGCTTCGGAGGAGGAGCAGGTGCCGCTTTTGCATTTGAACTACTTTGCTTATTGCCGTACTGATCTTCACTGTTGTTATTATTCTGCCTCACATAAGAAAATAAACTATTTTGCTTCATCTGTATTGACTAAAAAAGTTGGGTTTCACACTATTTTTACTATATTCCAACAAAAGCTGAACAACAACTCTAGTTTGTACTTTGTAGTATATCCTCTCTCTAGTCTCGAGCAATATCTACATACTTTGAACATCATGTAACTACGGTGCAACAATAACGTTCTTGTTAGTTGCATAACAATGACTAAAGTGTACAACAACCGAAAATATTTCTCTTTTGTCTATTAACTGCACTGTGCCTGAACCTCCTGTTCAACGAAGTGGCCTACTTGGAGTTTGAATGAGACACGGTGGTCTAAGAATATTTATAATGACGCATCAACATGCTAAAGCAAGAAATGATTTCCCTGAAACAAAAAAACGCGGAACCCCCGAGGAACCCTATAAACTCGGAACCCCTGTTGAAGAACACTGTTGTATACCCAAGGTTGTCATTGTATTTCTATCTGTGCACATGTTGCGTGTTACTGGCTGTTTAGTTTTGATAGTGCTATGATGTATTTATTTTAAAGTGCTTGACTCCTACAATAAAGTAGTGTTGTAATAGAAACTTGGTGCTTGTCGTAAATATCTAAAGGCAGAATATACTAGAGTTCTAGTCTCTATTTCCCTTTGCATACTCTTGCAGTACAATAAATTTATCTGTTAATTGGTGCATTGTTTGCAGAATACCGTTTTTGATATTTTTTTTTAAATCTATAAATTAACTCTCATAAATTTTCGGGGGTTAGACAAACACAACAACGTGGAGAACTGTTTGCCAACATTGGCGTGTTATGAAACAAACAATGAAAAACAATGCAACAGTCAGGTTTGCACATGTCGCGGTAGTTCTATTTCGGTGAATATTAGAAAGCTTCACACTTTATCAGATGGCCCAAACTGTATCAACTCAACGACGATGATACTGCATGCTCAGCTTTAAGTGGCAGCGATTTGGCATGTACATGATCCTTATCTGAAAATATTATTATTAAATTAGAGTTTTGTTTGCGACATTCCATTCGTGGTAGGCTTTTGGAATGTTGTATGCTGTGAAATATATCATGCATCGGGTATCATCCAATGCTTGTAGTGAGTTTTCATTTAGGTTGCGTTACTATATCAAGTTTTCTTTGAGAAAGTTGTTGTAAAGCGTTTGTTTGGAGTTTTAGTAAGTTGAAAACGACTGTAAAGGTAACTTGTCATGATTATGTCTACCATCGATACAGTAAAACTATGTCCAACCTGACAATATAATTGACTGCGATTTGTAGTACTTCTATGAGTGTGCCAAAAAGTCACACTCCAATGTTTCAGAGTCAGAAATGACTAGAAACCCGTTTTCCTCAAAAAAAGAGAGGGGGGCGGGGCGGCTTTGTTTGCGGCATACCATTTCTGGCAGACTTTTGAAAATCTATGAATACTCTTTTATTAATCTTATCGATAAACAAGCACAACAAGGCGGAGAAATTCACGCTGATATTGCTAGTTGCCTCAGCTAGCCATAACACTAGTCAATTCAGTGACATAGGTGATTTAACAATATGTCAAAAGTTTTTTCTGAATAATTTTATTACGAAACAACACGAAATGCGATTTTCTGATTACTCTCTGTATGTACAGCGGGCCACAGATAATGAAGCGGCGGGCCACATGTGGCCCGCGGCCCCGGATTTGGACCACCCTGCTCTAAGTAGTTGTATCATTTTACATTTTAGGACACCACTTCACAATGGACCTTTCAATTTTAAACTCTCAGTATTCAAATGCAAAAACGGTTGGCTATATGTTTGAGTTTTTGTATCTTATCCAATATTATTTATAATTCAATTTCTGTTTCCTCGTCTCTTCCAATATTTCACCTCAGATTGTTCGTCGTTTTTATAGTTCACTGAGGCCTCCATTTATAATTCGCAACTTGTATTATTTCACAAACTTCAGAGGGCGCTAGAGTTACGCAAAATTTTTATGTGTTTGGTTGCGTCAGAGTATTTGTAGTTGTGCTTGACCAGCTAGAGTGAATTAGTGATTTTTGAAATTGAGAATTGCTATCTGACCATTACCACATATAGATTAATTGATGACTACTGTAGATTTGAATGCAATTATTCTTTTGTTATCAATAATGCGATATAAAATTGGGATATTGAGAAATTCCATCATACTTGAAAATAAAACACCTGATCTTGCTCTCTTTAAAAAGCAGATAAGCATGACCCTAATGTACGAAATAAATATAAGGAAATCTAGAGTAAACAATCTTTTTGGAAAGGAATTACAAATTTATACGAAACACATACGATTCTGATTTTCTGATAGGAAATAGACTGCTGATTCAAACCGGGAAATCAAAATCGGTATTTTACAATTTTTCGATTAGAAACAATGATGGACGGAGTAAAATTCGACTAAAAAAATTGAAACCAGTGCATAGTTCAACAAATTGACGATATTTATTGACAATTAGTGTATAGCTTGACACGAGTCGGCAAAAACTTCATTAAACCTTCAGACATTTTAGTTTACTTTGAACAAATCCACTTGTGAATTTATGGTTCAATAATATTTTTATTTCAATTTCATATTCAGAATAATCACAGTACAGTACTTGTAGTTCCAATCACTAATACACAAAAATCTTTACACATTCTCATATCGTAAAGTAACATTTAGTTGGAGAAAAGCAGGCAGTTTTGTTTTATTAATTCCCAGTTAGATTAGTTTCATTATCAGTCAAATAATGACGAGCTTCCGACAGAAAGAGATAAAACGCAGTGATGCGTGACGTGATTTACGAACAATATTCCAACAGTTAGTGTCGCAGATATTATATATATACAAGAAACATATCGTCACGCTAATAACCGAAATGCGTCATTTTTGGCGGTTTTGAGGTTCTCATAAATTAAATATTTATGTAGTGCTGCGCACCTGTCTGTTAATACAGATTCTATTTTAAGAATTCCGAAACCCATAAAAATAGAGATTTTGTATGATATGCAAATAAATTTATTCAATAGTTTCGTCATAATGAATTATCATTGTTAACGCAGAACTATTGTGACGTTACAAAGGCAAAATAACCTCGGCGAAGGATTTTCGAGTTTTTGCATCTCAGATTCTAGCTTAGCACTTATAAATTTTAATTTATACTACAGTATAGGAAGGCGTGCACTTGTTATATTCACTGTTTGAGTTCAATTCACCTTGGTTGGCTTTTATATAAGGGTACATTGCTGTTGTATTCTTTATATTTAACTTTAGTCTTATTTCGGTGGATGTGCAGAGCGTGTTGTTTTGATGAAATATATATTTTTAAACATAAAAAATAATGTAATTGAAACAGATAAGCTATTTTGGGTATTAGACTTCGTATATATCAAGAATTACATTCGTTTTTGGATTGTTTGTTTTTCAGGACTGGTACATATAGTCAAGTCGCAAAATTGCGTATGTCCCCTAGTCATAGACACATTTCTGTAAGTCACAGTGCGCCAGTATGACGTCACATGACTGCGTCATACAAATTAACTTAAATCCGACTACGATCAAAAAATTGAACTAATTATTGACTCTCAATGGCATAGCAAAATCATTAGGAAGTTTTTTACGTTTTTCTCAAAACTGCTAAAAATGACTTACGCAATTCGGTTATTGGCGTGACGATATGGTATTAGCCAACAAGAAACATATATTTGGAATAAGGGAAGGGGGGAAAACCGTTTTAGTCTACATATTTAATTCATAATTGTTCTATCTTATTCACAAGCTGGCAACCGTGTTATTGACTTATTGCTACTCAACGAGTTATACTCAAGTTATGTGACGATGCGGAAAGAAACTGGCGCAGCAAACGAGCGCTTGATGAACGCATGATTTTGGCGTTAGAAATTAGTGTTTTGATTCTTTGGATTTCTGTTGCTGATATTCGGTTCCCATCATATTTCTAATAATTTCATTGTTTATTTCGAAATAGTTTGATTAGTTCTATGTATGAAAATAAAGGGTAATTGTAATATTCTGAAGTATCAGTTTATAATCTGTTATTCTCTATTGCATTAAGTACTTTAAATAGGTTCTTAAAATCGACCTAAAAATCATATGCTGTACAAAAAATGTAAAAGTTACGACAATTTGAATGTAAGCACGTTACCAATAGACAATAAGGCCTGAAGATGAATGGTATGCCGAGTATGATTGTTGTGTATTTTATGGTGGAGTATAAGATTGGATAGTTGTATTTACTTATGAAATAGGATTTACGTATTTATTCAAAGGAGAGGAAAATCGCCAAGATGGCTAAATCATATGAAAATTGAGAACTCGTTCTGTTGCCAGTCCGCGCCGAGTATAGAGTTAGTTATTTGCTTTAACTGAATGGACTTCATGGACCAGCGGTTACGTGAACCCCTTTATATATGTAAATATTGTAATTTAGGAGACACGAGGCTAGTTTTCTTGATTCTAATAGAAAATAAGATAAAGGAAAAGCTGTATTAG